AATCGAAGTGTCAGGTTTTGAAACTTGCTCGTTGTGTCTTTTACTGGAGCCCGAAAAGAATCTACAGTTTGTATTCTCCAGTAATGCTTGTGAACTCTACTTTTAGCCTGCTGAGGGTTATTATTATTTATTAATATTACTGCTATTATTAATATTGTTAGTAGTAGTAGTATTTTGTTTAAGGGCTTCATAAGGTAGTTATGTGCACAAAGAAAATAATTACGAAAATATGTTATGTTTTTTTAATGCAACCCTTCTTAGTACGCGCTGTTCCTGTTCTGCAGAAATAATAATTACATAAATTTCGTAGCAGAATTTCATACTGCGGGAAAGCCATTTCATTTATATCATAACAAAAAAATTAGAACATTATGGAACATGTACTGTAGTTTACAACAAAGGCTATATACGTATAGTCAGAGAAAATGGACATGTGATTATTTTCGAAACAGGAAGATCGATTTGTCAGCTGCACAAGACAAGACACAATATTCGTAAAAACAGCTTTCGGTATATGGACAAATAACTCAGGTCTCTAACAAGAAGAAACGACGGCCGACTCTAACGAAGATAAGTTACGTGTACATTTCGAGGATGAGAGAGAGAGGGAATGAAGAGAAAGATGAGAGCTCCAGTACGCTCCAGTTCTTACGTAGAATTTAATATTCCCTCATATGGATGCTAAATGAGTGAAATACATCCATCCATATTACAACAAATTATATTTGTAGTCTATTTTACATATACAATTTCATTGGTCTTTGGATCATTTAACTAAGCAATTACAGCTGAAGAAAATGGTGTATAGGCGTATAATTTCGAGTGAGTTTAACTGAAATGGTGAATGGTAGGTAATGCTGCCTGAGCTACGGCAAGGCATTATCCCAGCAGTCTCCAAAGGACTTAACATAGCAAAAGAAAGGCTCTGTCGGTATAGAGAAAACTTCAAATCTGTTTAATAAGAGTTCGAGCTTATCGTTTCATAAGAAGAATCCTTCATTGTGTGCCTGCATGCCTTCGTGCATAAATGTATGTGTATACGCGTGCATATATTATGTATTTGTGCATGCACGCATGCTTGTACGTATTTATAAATTTAGGAATGTGTCATTCATGTACAATAACTTCATCTTCCTCAAGAATCAAAAATCGCCTCACTCTCTCTTCGTTTGGAAACAAACAAAATAAAGTGATTTCCTGCGCAAATTAAGTTGCTTTAGATATATGTCTTCCTGTCGGATGAAGGGAAACAGATATGGCATCAGAATGAATATAATCTTATCAATCTCAGAATCAGAGAAACACATAAATTAAGACAATAAATTTATAAGATCGTAATTTTCATTCCCATGAAAATTTATGTTTTGGCTTTGTGGAATATGGCACCGTGTTGCTTGAAAATGGACGTTTTGGAAGAATATGCTGCCGCCATCTTCAGGATAGAATTCTACAGTGAAATAGATACACGATATTATAGCCAGGAGATCACAATAAGAAAATAAATTAATTTGTATTGTGAAATATACCTCTTGCTGAAAAGTTACAAGTTGCTTTAATGTTAGGGGATGACAGATGACGTTACTTGCAGTGGCATTTTCAAACATCATATTAAAAAGCTAACCAGAGTATAAAGATCGGTCAAGGATTAAAATATGTATTCAGATAAACACTACGTGTGTCCTGGTTTCATTTTAGAGCAAAAGAGATTATTAATTTCCATCAGCTGTGACTCCCGTGTTAATATAAAATAACATTTTGTGTAACAAGAAAAATAAATCTGAATAGGCATAAGTGAAAATATACCTCACTCCAGACTTTTGCCTGTTTTACGTGTATATGTATTTATATAATAAATTTATGTAATGAATGTATGTGTATATGTGTGTGTCTGTTGTACTTTAAGGCCAATATTTATTTTATTTTGTTCTCATTGGCTGAGTACCACCTTTTGCGTCTTTCGAGTAATATACTAGTCTCTTTTTGTGTTACCCCAGCTGTGTGTCCTCATATCAGTAATTAAGCAATAACTCCTGCTCTGATGTATGAAAGCAGGCGGAACATAATATTTTGTATCATTCTTAAACTATGGTTCATACTATATATATATAAGTTGGTTCAAGTTTGGAGTGTTAATGAAGCTTTTGTGCATGAAGCATGAATTTCTATACGAAAAAAAAATCAGTAAATTCAGTCTAGATTGAATACTACTTCAGATAATTCTGTAGTCATTAGTCAAGCAGGATTTTTTTAATATAATTGGTTTTCCTCAGATGAGGTTCTGCCGCTACTCATCAGGAACTGCCCACGTCATCACTATTAAAATTGCTTGCTATATCTATAACCTGTTACCGCTTCAAACTTTTTAAATGACAAATTCATTTACAATTCATTTAGGACGTGAAGAAATGGAGAATAATTGATCAAAGTTCCAGAAGTATGGGGTTGAAAGTTTCCCAATTTTCTAAGAATATTTTCCTTAAATCTACATTTAAGGAAACTTGTTTACTTTGTTTTCAGTTGATCTCGCCCTTCCGGCTGTGCTGTCAAACTGTGGACTGTTAGCAACAAATATACGTACATTACAGTTATTCCTGTGTTTAAACACTACATGATGAAGCATGTGGAAATGCTAGTGAAGATTTCATATTTGTTACCTATGCCTTGGGTGGTTATGAACGCTTAGCTTCTGACTCAGGTCACTTCATCCCTGGTGTCCATTACATACTAATCTGAGTGGCCCACAGAACTGTGATGGCGAAGAGAGAAATTACTTCCTCAGCTGATGGTCGAACCTATATCGTCTACCCCTTAAGAAACGGAAACGAGTTATATGAAACACTGAAAACTGAGACTTATATCCGCCTTCTATGACTACTCAACGTAAATATCACCATTTCAAATTCATTAATTCCGTTGTAGATATGCATTAATTATTAAATTCTCAGTGATGTATATTTATTTATATATTATTATTCGTATGCATATGTATAGGCCTATATGAACATAGACACATTTCTATAATTATACGCATGATTGCTGCGATATAATCCGTTCGAAAATTTTAGGAATATTGACGACTTTCATATATATCTATTACGCAGACAAATTAGGGGCATTATTCGTGCTTTATTCTTTTGTTGAGGAAGTATGTAATATCATGTGTATATGTTAGAAATTCCTTTCTGACATCAAGCTCCATAAAATGCGGAATATTCATTTGAAAATCTAATTTCACGCAAAAAGTCTAATACAGTTTCGAAACCATTTATCAAGTACTACGGTATGTATTGTTGGATTGACTACAGATTATAAAAATTGAAACAATTTAAAATAAACATATATTTCTAATTTTGCTATTTTTTCTCTCTAGGAATTTTTAAGCTCATATGTTTTTATTAATTGTAGATCATGCCTTTCAAATTCCAACAAAATTACTAACATTTTAGGTATTTTTTTTTTCAAAAAATATCAGCTGATTCCAATAATGAAAAGGCTGGGAAACAGAATGAAAACTTTACGTTATTTGTTTTAATGTATTTAATGTGGATGTGTGAACATTTCCTTTATTTGCCAGGTTCTTACTAATTTATGTCCAATGAAATTGTTACAACCAGAACAAATCAGTTTTGATTTTCGAAAAATAAACAATAAGTCATTAGTATTGAAAATGCCACGGTAGATACCTTGGTCTGAATCAAATGTACGTTTTTGAGAACTCTTGTTAAAATTATATATATATATATGAGGATGTGCATACATGATGCATCAGCCATATTTAATCTTCTGCATACAACTTACTGAATTTCTAAGAGTAAAAATTATTATAAATTAATCCAAAATTTGAGGCCGTTTTACCTTCTGTTTATGGTAAATCACTCTGTGCTATACAACTGTTAGAGTACGTAGTGGGAAAATGTGAAATATTTACACTTGAAGTAAACAAGTTTTTGATGCTGCTTAAAATAGATTATGCATCTGAGATGTGATTATATTCATAATTTTCTCGTTGTGTCGCTGTTATATTAAGGATGTGAAAAGTGTTTCACAATTTTCATTTGCTGCTAAACAAGAGATCACTTTGTGACATCATATAAAATTGTTAAGAAAAGTTGTATAAGATAATTAATATTACCGCCATCGAATGAAAATTTGTTGTTTCAAAACACAGCCTGCTTGGTTCTTTATATACGAGTTCACTGGACGCTGTATCTAAACTAGCTTGATGAAAAGTGAGATGCAATTCTTTCTCTGAAATAATCAGGTATGCAATTACACACGCTTCGTTGTAGAAAAATTGTATAGTCTGAAGACATATCTTCAATTGTGTCAGAGATCAGGTTCATACGTCGTAATCAAACACGTCTGAATTGAACTGGTTTTGTTAATGATGTCCAGTGCATATTCAGTCGTAGAACCACAAAAGAGACTTCAGTGACGTCATAGTTAACAAATAGAGGTTGCTTAAAACGTCGATTGAAAGTATGAAGATTTCAATTCACGAGATTTATGTCAGGCAGAAGAGATCTTTACTAAAACGTGACACGGAATTCTTACTCTTTCGAATGTTGCACTTTTTAACGCAATTACAATTGACGTTTATTTTGGAACTGAAAATTTTGAATTACTTCATTTGGGACTTGGGGTTCTCTCTGCGTGACTCTTCTGGGATGCTGAGACCTTGTAAAATTACAAGCATATCAGGATAGCTGGAACCGAGCAAGGAAATCATTCGATACTGAAGATGATGGCAGTACATTCCTCCGAAACTCCGTTGGACTTCTACGAAACTACAAGCTCTCACATCCAAGAGGAGAGGAGGCCTCCTCTGCATACTTCAATTAACTTTCTGAAAGCATGATTCGTTCAACGACTTTTGCGAAATGAACTTCAGCTGAAAGCATGTCACATGCAGCTACTGGGCAACAAATTGCGTGCTCTATGCCCTGACGGCGGGGCAAGAGCTGTGTGTCCCTGTCTGCCACGTGTGTTCATTCCCTTACCTGGTGCTGTACTGGTGCAGTTTCTGTGGTAGTGTGGTGGTGGGTGAGTAGTGCTCGCTCTGGTCTGTGTTCTCTCTTCTGTATCACCTGAAAGTAGGCATGCCTAGGTTTTGCACCCTAAAGTGTTGGCCTTGCTGCTATGAACAGGTTTTAAATTCCCGCCACGAATCGTGCCTTCAGTCGGGCAGGTGGGCGGTCGTTTATTCTCCTTCCGTTCGTTCGTCTGTCCGTCCGTCGGTACGTACGTCGAAGTCTCTAACGCTAAATGACAAGCTCGAAAACAGTAATGCCAACTTTACGAAGTGGCAATGTCTTTTATATGACAGCCCTTCCCCCCCTTCAGGTCTGGTTGACAAGCACAGCGGTGCGTGCGTATTGCTTGAAAGCTGAAAGAAGCTTCAAGAGCGAGTCGTCTCTTGTGTCGATTGGCTACCAGTTACATGGACACATGAGAGGCTGGTCTCACCGCCACCCACGCCAGCTGCTAGTGGCATGGCGAGGTCCGCATTGATCCTGTTCTGCAGGTTTCTGTGCCTTGCGCAGAGCTGCCCGCGGGATGCATATCGATACAAGCAGCTTGGCAGGGGGGAGGGAGGGATGAAACTATTCTGTTTTGGCGGGAACGTGGGAGTAGAGCTCGGAGCTTTCAGAATGAAAGACTTTATTCACCCACATTCCCTCTCTTCGGATTCCCCGCGCCAGGGTACAACCACCCCACTGCCTAGAATGTTTGGACACTTTTCTTTCAAAAGTACAAGCCGATGCCTGGAAAAGGCAAAGAGCTCTGCTCGAATATATGGGTCACGGTGGACGAATGAGTGTCCCTGGATCATTTTATGACTTTCATGCTAACAAGCTAATTTGTAATGGAAGAGAAATTCAGTGGCCATAAGGTAAGTCCCGCGGACTGAAATCTTTGTCTTGCTCCTTACGCAATAACGTAGCCCATCAAGCACCATAATCACACTCAAATCATATCAACACATTTTGAATTGAATTATCATTCTGCATCAGAAATCACACAAAACAGTCTCTTTTCTATTTCATTGTGTCGCATGGAAGTAACTAACTTACAGTACAAGGTTGAGCAGTTCACACTTGTTCAACCAACTGAATCATAAAATCCAAAAGTGTATGACCATGGTACATTAATTCAAATATTATGATTCCGGACAATATCCATCGTCCTCTGTTTATTTAGGACACAACGTTTTCGAGACTGGATTCTTTCTCCGTCTTCAGGTAAAACTTATTCAGTTCGGTCCAATCGATAGAGCTAGTCACTATCTCCCGACCTAAAAATTTTTAGTTCTTTCAAAATTTCCTAAACTTCGGATATATACCAGGTCCATATTGATTATGCAATTAAAATCTAAAAGGTTGTGACGATTACATTAATACAAATATTATGTTTCTGGACATTATCCATCGTTCTGTTTTAAACAAAAACAGGACGATGGATAATGTGCAGAAAGATAATATCCTTTTCACCTGAAACGTGTTTTACTTGTAGAAACCGAAGGCTTATCCTCGTTTTTATTATAGTCTATCATGCTATCCTATCCTGAGATAGGCTTACTCCAGTCCATTTCAAATATTCACAGCTTAACATGAAATTTTTAACATTGTCCTTCCATCTAGGACTATGTCCGCCAAATGCACGTTTTCTCCTGGGGATCCCATCCTATATGTTAAATATGTTTCTAGTATATGCTTTCACATGCTCCTTTATCCTATTCTTCCTCATGTCACATAAATAGCATTAAGTGATGGACAGTACTAAATCTGTTAAGAGTTTCACCATTGCATATGATTTTCCCATTTTCTTTGGCTTCCTTTTCGTTACACATTATCCTTAGCGCTTCTTTCTCAAAGAAGCCGGGATAGCGTAGTCGGTAGCGCTACTAGCCATGGGCCAGACGACCAAAGAGTCGGAGTTCGAGTCCCGGTAGGGTCAAGAATTTTCTCTTCTTCGTGTCGTCACGACGGGCAGTGGGGCCCACCCTGCCTCCTATTCAATGGAGGTAAAGCGGCCGGGGTGTGGAGCTGACTACTGACCTCCAGTTAGTGCGGAAGTCAAGAAAATTTAGATATTTACAATCACTGTCCATACGTCTTCATGGCGTAGTGCTAAATTAGTTAAACACAGGGACACATTTACCTTATCTTTATTCTCAAACGTTCCTGGATCTACGAGTGTATTCCTCTCTCAGAGCGAGAAACCGAAGTGCCAAGATACAACCACGGGTTGTAATTTTATGTGTTTCAGTCTTCAGGAATTAAGAGAGGAGATGGAATGATCAGAAATTTCGAACCGAATAATGGTTTCCATTCTAGAATACTAACCCCCTTAATCTTTTTTTTTTAATTGCTAGTGGGGGTGGGACTAAGTCCCTTGTACTGCGACCAGTTCTTGCCTATTGTACCAGGTCAAGATGATAGGTGATGGTGATTGTGGAGAAATTGGTGGAATGAAGACTAACGAAGGAACCGAAATACTCAGAGAAAACGTGCTCCATCGCCAGTTTGTCCACCACAAATCCCACTTGACCAGACACGGGATCGAACCCAGGCCGCCGCGGTGGGAACCCAGCGACTAACCGCTTGAGCTATGGCACGCCTTCTCCCCCTTAATCTTACAATTAATGTTATGTCGATGTGGTACTTTCGTTACTGTGTGCATTAATTGGCCTAAATAATGCCCACTGATGTGCTTTAATTGTCGCTGAGATGAACAAATAGACGGACACTGTGAGTGGCCATTTTTAGGAGATAACAGTTTTCGAAACCAAATTAACTTGACCATACCTAGGCCTCTATCAAATATTACGACCACTCACCTGACCTTCCACTCAATTAATATATCGCCATATTGTTGCCCATCTTCCTGTCCATTTCTAACAGTAAGTTCTTTACAATATATATATTTACTTTTCTAACAAGCCGGCAAATTTAAGTAACTACTTCTCTACTAGTAGAACCCGCTGGTACCGTAGTCCGCCATTGGACACGATTGTATGCATTTCCATGTATTTCCAACCTCCTGAAACTCCGTGGCCTGTAGTCCGCAAGCGAACTATACAGACCGAGTAACAGCCACTTGTCGGTGAAATTAGTGCCAAATTTTGCGGATAGAGAATGCCGCGTGGTCAGCGCAACGGATCCCCACGGCTCCTCCACAATATATTCTCAATAAATAACCCTAACGTTACCCTTGTGTCTTCTCAGTTTTCTAAATGTCCGCTTTGTAAGAAGTTCCCTCTTTAAAAATCTGTATGATTGTATATAACTATGTCTCTTCAATCCATGCTACATATATTTATACTACAGTATTCATTTTGCTCCTGGCCGCTCACGGTAGCCGAGCGGTCTAAGGCATGCACTGTCTTCGCTCGCTCGGAAGCCGGGATCGTGGGTTCGAATCCCACTCAGGGCATGGATGTTTGTGTGCGTTTTTCTGTGTTTGTCTGCAGGTAGAGGCCTTGCGACGAGCTGATCACTCGCCCAAGGAGTCCTACCGAATGTGTAAGATCTAGAAAAACCGAAGTGAACGGAGTTCATGGAGGTAGGCCTAGGCCCACTGAGGCTGTAGTGCCTAAGAAAAAAAAATCGTTTTGATCCTAGCAGTAGCAAGTGAACTAGGCTATTAGTACCGAATTTCGTTATTGTGTGAGTTGCCAATTAACACAGTTACATCTATATGTCTCCTGAGATCTCCGTTCTTAAACGTATGTAATTTAAGAGTGTTATCTTCTGGGGTATAAAGCCGTGTAGTAAGTCGAAAATCATCCGAAGTTTCGGAGTAATATATCGCCTCCAATTTCATGGCTTAATCAGCTCTGAAAATAGAGGCGATATATTTCTCCGAAACGTCGGATTATTTTCAACGGACTACACGGTATTATATCTTCATAACTACTGCTGTGAGAACCTCGGATCGTGTATATCTGTAATTTACTGTTACGCTGAAAACAAGGGTCTGTATTTCAGAATCACAGTCTATAGAAGACAGAACAAAATCATTGCCGCTCTGTTCTAGAAAATAGAAGGGCCTAGAACAGGGAACATCTCTTTGATTTCTTCAATAGTGTCATTTGTATTTTCTGTTGTTGTTTCGAGATATAATTAAAATAACAAATGTTATTTAGCATCCATCACGTTTAGCGCAAGAAATTAAAATTCAAGTATGTAAATCCTGAAACGGAATTATAATGGCAGAGTGCTAGACACAGGTAAGCCGAAACTGGATCTCGATTTGTGTAGAAGTCAGCAATTTCATGCAAATGTGTTGTAATTGTATTAAGCTGCTAAGAGATTAACTCAAAACCAATGTGAAGAAATAGACTACTACCAGAAACCTCATTAACAAGTCTTAAACAACCACCGGTTCACGTTGCACACATGAGGGTTCCGAAGGGTAACATAAATATTGGTAAAGTATATGACAAGATTTGAGTGAATACAGTAGTGCAGTTTCTATACTTCGTTGGAATATCTGTGGAGTAAACCTAAACATAAGAGCGGTTGTCAAGAGATAGAATGTTATCCTCGAAGTGGTGAGGTTTCTGTACTTCGTTTGAGGTATCTCTAATATCAAAGTAAACAATAGAGCAATGACTAAGAAATAGAATGCTACCCTCATGGTGGTGCAGTTTCTATGCCTCTTTTGACATATTTGTGGAGTAAACGTAAACAGAAGGTAGCTGTTAAGAGATAGAATAATATTTTCTTGGTTGTACATTTCTTACAATTCTTTCGGAGTATTTGTGGAATCAAGGTAAAGAATAAAGCAGCTGCTAAGAGAGAATGATACCTTCATGGCTGTTTGTCATGGAACTTATCCTCAAGCGCCGTCCTTTACTTCGCAACGGCGCTTATGAATTAAGTAAAATATCGAAATTCAAGAGTACGACCATCCAAGATGTAATGCAGTGTAATTCATTAGAAGTACACCTACGTTCCTTAAGAGTGTTCTGTCTTCTTCTTCACGTTCGGTGAACAAGCCAAGCAGGAACCTGACAACAAGAGGTGGCAAGGATTACAACCCAGAAGATCGTAACGCTTATAGCCGCTGTTGTGAGAACTTCAAATCCAACAATAAGAGAACTTTGTTTATTTATGACATGTTCACACTTTATTATCATTAGGGCATTCACAGCTGATTATTTGCGACACGTGGCGTTCAGACTCACCTCCATCTACTGCCTAAGTCAGGAATGATGGAACTATATCTCCAATCCCCCCACAAGTTTTTATAGCATGGTACTTAATTAATTAAGAACTGAGAAAATACTTCTTTTACCTTACGTTGAATTCCGCATTTAGTACACGCTTTTGTCACAGGCCCTCACAAA